GCGAGGCCGGCTGGAGGGAGCGATGCCGCCGCGGTGCCCAGCGCTGGAGCATGGGCTCCTGCTGCTGGGCCGGCCGGGAACTGCAGCGCCCCGGGCAGCAGGGCCGCGCTTCCAGCCCAGAGTGGAGGGGGCCTCACGGATGGGGCAGGGGACCGGTCTGCCGCCTCTCGGGAGTCCCCCAGAGGACCGCCGGCTCAGAGCCTGCAGAACTAGCCTTGTGCCAGCCCACGCCTGGGCAGAGCCTTCTGGAAGGGGACCCCGGCCCCCGCAGGTCAGTGCCCCTCCTTCCCAGTCTGCAGCGCAGCCCTGCAGCCTCCGTCCCTGGCGCAGACCCTGCCTGCCGCATTGGACGCTGCTGGCTCCCCCGTCCGGGGTGGGCGGGCACGCAGACCTTCCGGAGGTTGGGGAGGGGCCAGCAGCAGTGAGCAGGGTGCTGGGTGGCAGGTCTCGGGGAGGGGGCGCCCCCACTCACCTCTGCTGTTGGCGTAGAGGAGGCCCAGGGTCACCAGGGCGCCTGTCACCAGGAGCAGGAGCAGAAACAGCCCCCACTCCAGGAAGCCTCGGTGCTTCGGCCCCGACCGGCCAGCGAGCTCCACCGTCCCCACGGGGCTCTCAGGCTTTCCCATCACAAGTCTCTGGACGGGGAAAGCACACCGCTGAGGAACTCCAAGGCCAAGGGCAGGGCAGCGTCCACCCAGGGTGGGGCACCAGGCAGAGGGGATGTGGTGAGGAGCTTTTGAGGCCCTGCCTGAGGCTGGCTGGGAGCAGGTGCTGGGTTGTTTCGGGTGCTCAGCCCTGCTCTCCATCACCAAGTCCACGCCTGGCCCAGTGTGTCTGGGCCTTCCTCACTCTCCCGAGGCCACAGTCTGAGTGCTGGGGGCACCTGCTGGGGGGCAGGCCCGGCCTGCTGGCCCTGGTGGAGGTTCCTTCTCCAGCTTGGCCTCTGCAAGGCTGCTCTCTGGCAGGGGGTGGCCGCAGGGGCTGCTCTGCTCACAGCTTGGGGTGGGCACTCTGGACCCAGGAGGCCCAGGGGCTCTTGTGCCGAGAGGGGTCCTGGAACTGTGACCCTAGGTGCCGGGTCAGGGACACCATCTGGGAGGTGGCTTGGGCCACCTGCCAGCTTTCCTGCCTGGAGCCCAGGAGCTGCCGGGGGCGGGGCGAGAATGACCGGCAGCCATGCAGCAGGGACCACGCAGGCCAAGAAGAGACCCGTCGGGCACCTCCAGCAGTCGCCTCGCTGGTGTATGGGTCTGGCTGCCCCCACCTCGTCACTACAGAGAGAGCGCCTTTCCTGCCAGCCAGGCGGTAAGCAGCAGTGGGAGACACCTGGGGCTGCCTCTGTGTGAGGAGAGGTTGCACTGCCCAGGCTGGTGGGACAACAGATGAGGGCTCTGGAGGCCGCACGTGCTGCCCTGTGTGTGCGTGCGCACGTGTGCGTGAGCACGCATGTGCGCACGCACACGTTTGCGCACGTGCTCCCGGGGACACACGTACAAGTGTGCAGCGTGCACCCCTCCTTGCTGGCACTCAGAGCCCTGCCCCAGAAAGAGGCGAGAGGGCCCCGGAGAGCTGGCTGTCCCCTCGTGCTTCAGGCTTCCGGCCCGCACACAGGCTCGTGCTCCGGATGTTGGAGCCTGGTCCTCACTCAGGACAGAGGAAGGCAGACCCAGGCCTGGCGGCGGGCAGGTAAGTGCAGCCCAGAGACCCGCCAGGGCTGGGTGGGGTGCTCTCATGCACCAACACCGCGGGCTCTGCCTGAGTTCTGTCCTGACTCGTGGGGTGGCGGGTGGCGGGGTGGGTCTCAACTCTTGGGCATCACCTACCACAGCTTGAGAGGAGAAGCCAGGCTCTGATCTCAGGAGCCCTTATCCCCTCTCTGCACGCCTACCATCCTCTTGCCCCGTGCCGGATCCCCGCTTGTCCCTCTCCCCCCTCCAGGGGCCCCCGTTCAAGGTCACCTCCAGACAGGCCTTCCCTGGGCCTGGCCCCTACCTTGGCCCCAGCCCTGACCTGCTTCACCAGCTCACCTGTGATTCTGCATCTACGGCCCCTGTTTCCATTTCTGGGCCCACCTCCCCCCCGGAGACACGGGCGCCCAGGGGCAGGGGCTCCTTCTGCCTGAGCCCCGGGACCCAGACTGGTGCCCGAACCCTGGAGGCATGCATCCTCATCTGCGGAGTGAATGGAAGAATGATGAGTGAGTGAATGGGGCTGGACAGGCTTGGCCTCGCCCAGCACTTGTGGCTCTGGTTTCACCAGCGTCCTCTTTCTTTGGTCAGAGCTGGTGAGTCCACTCTGCACTCTGTCCTGCTGGTGTCTGGGGACTCCATGTGACAGAAGGCACATTCACGCACTGGGGGCTGAGGACAAAGCCAAGTGCTGGGGGTGGGAGAAGGGGGCTGCGGTGGCCAGCAGCCGACAGCCTCCCTGGAGACGTGCCTTTGGCCTCTCTGTGCCTTTGTGGCCGGCTGGGCCGACAGGAGTCCTGACGGGCGGGCACTGGGCCGGGGCTGCCTGCCCAGGTTCTGGGGTAGCTGCCCTGCACACGGCCTGGGAGCCGGGCTGGCGCTCGGAGGGGGTGGCCCCGCGCGCTGCCCGGGAGAGCCGGCCCAGCAGGCAGGCCCCTTGCGTGGCTCACCGTTAGGTCTCTCAGGAATGGCCACTGCCCCAAGGCAGGTCTCGGAAGGCTGGGTCAGGGTGGCCCAGAGCTCTGGTGAGCCAGGACGGGAGGGCTCCCAGCGTGGGGAGAAGTGAGGCTGGTGTGGCTTCCCGCCTCCTTTGTGATGCAGGCGTGGGTTCCCTGGCGGTGACCCCCTCCTGCTCACAGTCAGCAAGTTCCATCTGGGTTTGGTGTCGGGGGAGGGGGCCCCGCTCCCTGCTGGGAGGTGTCCTTCAGAGGCTGAGGGCCCTGCCTCCTGCCTCGTCCTCCCTCCTTCTTGATTTCTTGGCCCAAAGGGGCCACAAGGCTCCAGGGCAGGAAGGCCAGGCCCTTCTCCTCACCCTGCCCACCTGCCCACCCTGTCTGAAAGGTCGGAACAGAGAACCACCCTGCCTGTGGGATTCTTTCCCCTTCCATCTCCACGGAGCGCAGTGGGTCCTGGGGGCCGTGGCAGCGCGTGAGGGGAGGGGCGTCTCTACTCATCATGATGGGGGGTGCTGCCAGAGAGGGCCCCTGCCCAGAGACACCCCCATCCAGCTGGCGTGGGGCTCGGCTGCGGCCCTCTGCCCTAGAGAGTCTTGAGGCTCAGCCCCCAACCCCCTAACACCCGGGGGGCAGGCAGCCTGGCTGGGGGAGCAGGAGAGGGCTTTTGGGGTACCCCAGAGTGTTCATCAGGCACCTGGGCCTGCTGATGGGGTTGGAGGTGGGGGGCTCTGGGCAGAGCGGAACCCAGACTTCCCCTCCTCAGGCCTGTCGTGGTCACCAGCGCGGTTCTGCTTCGTTTCAGAATCCTGTGAACCGCGCCATCTCCCGGGCTCCTGGGAGTCTGCAAGGGTGTCTGCGTGGCGCCAGGCTACTGAGCCAGGGGTCTGATGGGGAATAGCCCCTCGTGGCCACCCCCTCACTGGGAGGCCCTCACTGGGTCCTGCTGGAATATTCCAGTCCACATTCAGGTGACCCCTTCGATTGACTCCTTCCCTGGGAGAAAGGCAGCCCTGTGGGGGCTCAGATCCCCCAAACCACCCCTGGACCTCAGGCAATGCCCTCCTCAGCCCCCTGGCTACCCTGGCTCCCCCCTGCCCCCGTCCCAAGGCCCAGAAGCCCAGCCAGAGCAAGGAGCTGGCATCTGGCCTGGAAGCTGCCTGGGCTGCTGGCCTGTATGGGGAGGAGGTCAAGGTCAGGGGACTGCCCTTCCTGAGGACCGGGGGTGCAGTCCAGCCAGAACGGCCCCCGCCCTCACCCCAGGCTGCTGGATGCAGGGCTGGTCCCTGCAGCTCAGCTGTGGTTCCCACCCATCGCCATCCCGTTCCTGGTTCTCCTGGCTGTAGCTGGGCCACTGAGAGCTAGAACCATGCGTGCGCAAGGGGCCCAGGGGCCCAGCCTGGCCTCCCAGTGGGCGCTGCACTGAGCCTGGCAGCTTCTGGGGGACCCCAGGGACGCGTTGCTGGTGCCCTCCTGGAGAAGCTGGGAGAAGGGTCTACAGGTGAAGGAGCTACAGATCCCCAGCCCTGGGCAAGTCTGCCTGCTGCGGGGGCACGTGCAAGGGACGCCCCCCGGGTGGGTTCTAATCCTTTCTCCTACGTGAGCTCACAGGCCAGCACAGGCTCCCTGCCCACCACTCCCCATCTCTCGGGCAGTAGATGTTGGATGTGAAGGTCTGAGATCCAGCCTCAGCTCTGGGGTGCAAGGAGGCAGCCCTTCATGGGGGAAGGGGTTGGGCGCCCCTTTCCTCGTCAGTGCTGGGACCACGGCAGGTCTGGAGGGTGTTAGCCTCTGCACCTGGGGCTGCCCTCAGACCCTGCAGACCCCTGCCCTTTACTGCTGGGCCCATGCTTTCCCTGCCCCATGCCCTCTGGCCGGGCACTCGGGGGCAGGTTCTGTCCTCTGCACGGAGCCTAGCCCCACCTGGCAGGTGTGTCTCTGGGCCTCAGCATGGCAGGAACTGGACCCCTCGCCAGTCTGCCCGGCCACATGTCAGGTGGGCATGAGGGGCCCCGCTTGAAGAAGACAGACTGGAAAAGGTTAAATATTTTCAAGGCACCTGGGGAGCTGGGATGAGAGCTGGGCCTCTGGGGGGTCCCCCCGCACACCCACCCTGCTAGCTGCTCCTGAAGTCAGGCCCTAGGGAACCTGGACAGGAGGGAAGTGGCCAGGACAGTCTGCCCCTGCCTGAGGTCGCCATCACTGAGCCCCCAGCCCAGCCCCAAGAGCTAGAACATCAGTCGCCTTCCCTTTAAGATTTGTCATGGAATCAGACGAGAGGACAGATGTGCGGTGCCTGGCACGATGGTGTGGCTGGGGAGTACCTGGGAGGGGGCGAGGGGCACAGGCAGAGGAGCTGACGGGGGTGGGTGACGGCTGACAGCCCCGGTGGCAAGGCTGGGCATCTGTCTTGGAACTCAGGGCTGCTACTTCAGCGACCTCTAGAGTTATTTCACCCCATTACATAATTAACTCCCTGAAACTAGGAATGGGGCATCTGGTCAGGCTCAGATGAAGCTGAGAACCTTGAACCCTCGGGGTCTCTGAGCCCCTCCAGTGTCCGAGGGGATGAGCCCTTTTTCATTATAAACCCTGTGAGACCCTCACGTGAATCAAGTGCCTAGAGAGAGGAGCCTCATTCTATTCAGCCTTCACAGGCATGCCCAGCACCCACAGACCGCGGACCCATCAGCAGGGTCCAGTCTCAGCATGCTCGGGTTGTGGGGTGGGGAGCACAAAGTCTGACCCAGGAGGAAACAGCATGTACACCCAGACAATTTCAGTATGTAATTATTGACACTGAGAAACCTGGGAGTTATGTGTGGGGTTGGAGACTAGGGGTGTCAGACCACGGCAGGGGGAAGGAACACCGTGCTGGGCTGGGTTGGCTCTGTCGATACGGGTGCACCTGCCAGAGATCCTGAATGTGCGTGTTGACTCACATCAGCTTGGGGAGTGACTCCAACAGTTCGCCTGGCTGAGTGAGTTCTGCACCAGACCGTGGTCCGCGGTCAACGAGGCTGAGATGTCAGAACCTCCCGATGTCACGTACAGGAAGAGACCCAAAGGCACAGGGAGATAGAGCGTCAGGGTGGATTTATCGCGCGTGGCCGAGCCCTCTGCCACAGCCCCCAGGAGGGGTCCCGGGACTTACTTCTTCCTTAGCTCTGCTCCCGTGGTGATTTTGAACCGTCCTTGCATTCCTGTATACGTTGCTCATACCGCCTCTTTTTAATGTGCTGTTGGACTCAGGTTTGTTGGTGTTTCCTTCGGGCTCTCTGAACCAGGAATTTGTAAATGAAGTTGGCTGGCGGCTTTCACTTGGGCGAGATTATGCTTTCTTCCAAAAAGAACTTGGAAGCTTCTCTGCTTTTTCTTGGCTGCGAAGGAGTTTGAAGGAATTAGGATCCGACTGTTCTTTAAAGGCTGGCAGGTCTCCCCTGACACCATCTGGAACTGGAGTTGCTTTGGGGGAAAAGCTCCTTAACAGCTTTCTCCTTCCCTCCGTGGTAATTGTCCTGTGTAATTTTTGTATCTATTCTGGACTCAGTTTAGTTAAATAATATTTTCCTAGGAACCAACACATTTCATCCAGACTCCACATTTACTTGCAGAGTTGAGAAAATTAATGTCTTATGATTCTTTAAATTTCCCCCATGTGATTTGGTTCTTGTCATCTTTAAAAATTTTGGTTCCTTTGTGCTTTTCTGTCTTTCTAGATTAAGTTAGCTATTGGCTCATCTACTCAATTTTTGAAGCATTATATTATGGATTTATTCTTCCGTTCTTCTATTCCTAACTTACTCATTTCTGCTTTCCTTGCTATTAATTCCTGCCTTCTGATTTCTTCTATTGTCTTCTTCTAATTTCTCAAATTGAATGTGTACTTCATTTTCATTGGCTAGTAATGCACTCTGGGCTTGAACTTCCCTCTGGACACTGCCGTGACTGTTTCCCAGAGGTGACTGCCTGGACTGTCTTTGTTACTGTGGTGTTTCCAGTATTCTGCAATTGCAGATTTGATATCCTCTAGGACCCAGGAGCTGTTTTACCTGCAAGGAATTTTTAAAATTTAATTTGTATCTTTATTGTCTTGAGAGTAGGTAATGCTGTCTACACCACATGACGAACACTTTCTTGGTCAACTAAAATGTGGTTTTGTGAAAATAAGGTGCAGCCTCCGTCCTCGGTAAGGGTCTGATTTGCATTGTTAGCCGTGCCATCGTTCTGCTGCCGGGGCTGTCAGAGCCTGCTAGTTCTTGTCCACATGCGTGCCACAGCGGGAGGCCGGGATAACAGACATCCCCACACGTACCCACAGATGTGGGACCGTCGCCCGGCCCAGGTGGAGGTGGGAGGACTTGGGCAGGACAACTTTGCCCGTGGAGCTGGCAGGATGAGCCCGTTTCTGCAGGTCCCCCAGCCTGTCTTCTGTTGAAGCCGCCTCGAGAGCTGGGAGCTTGGGTGTGGTTCCCAGACTTCACAGCTAAGTTGACTATGAACCTGTGCAAATCTTTGGATCTTTCCAACCTTAGCTTTCAAAACGGGACGAGGCTTTCTTCTGTCCCCAGGGAGGAAAAGAGAGCAGTAACAAATGTGAAGACCTGGGAAAGGCATGCAGGGCCACTTTAGCGCTTGGCCGTGAGCTTGCTGGCCAGCAGTTGCTCCATCCTCCCAGCTCCTGCCCCGGGAGGCGGGGGGGAGAGGCCCATCGCGAGCAGTCCTGGTGCCCGGCGGTGGCAGGGCAGACGTGAGAGGTGAGGCCAGGCAGCCAGGCTGCAAGGAGAGGGCTGCCCCCTGTCCAGGCACATTCAGGCCTGGCTTCTCAGCCTCCAGCTCAGCAGTGAGGAGCCGGGAGTGGGGCAGGTCAGGGCTGCTCAGGGAGTGTTGGGGGCGGGGTCTGCAGAGAGCACCAGGGCCTGGAAAGCGGTGGCAGCAGTCGGGCACCTGCACACTCAGTTTGATGGGCTCCAGCCTTGAGTGGACGCACGAGGCAGGACGTCTTGGATAGAGGACAGCAGGGGGAACACGTGGGGTGGGGTTGGGGGAGGGCACCCACAGGGACATCTCCCCCCTGCCTCCGACCTTCCTGGCAGCTCTGAGGCTGGCCCTTTTTGGCTTACCTTGGGCCTTGGACCAGCTCTCACCTCATGGCCTTAGGAAAGCCAACTGACCCACTCGGACCCTCGTGTGTGTCCCTGAACTAAGGTCCACACTGGCTCCTGGAGCTCACTGAGCCAATGAACACGCAGCTGGACACGGCGATGGACAGGTGGATGGGGTGATCTAGCGAGGATCACGCATGGGGAAATGCTAGAGACATGGGAACGGCTCAAAGATCCTGAGAGAGGCTGGCCAGGCAGAGGAATCCAGTGGCAGTGCCCCCGTGGAGCCCTCTCCCCACTCTCCTGGCTCCCTTCCCTGGTCCCTCACCATGGGAGACACTGCCTCTTGGCCCAGCTGTGGGCAGCCCCAGACCAGCAGGTCCCAGTTGGTGCCCCTGGGATGAAGGCTCCCACTTAGTGGTGGGTGATGGGGAGGGGCCTGAGGGGGAGGGGGCTGCCCACCCCACGTGGCCACTTCACCTGCAGCCCGGGGTCTGGCACCTCTGTGAAGGGGGGTGAGGACTGGGGTCACTCCCTGCCTGGGCCCCTGGACAGGTCGATTGGGAGGTGGGGAGCGGAGCCGAGGGCAGCAGGTAGAGGGTCTGTGCATGGGCAGAGGAAGAGGGGACAGCCAGGGAGGGGAGCAAGTTGAGTGCTGAGATGGGAGGGTGTGGCGTGGCCAGTCCCCTCTGCTTCGCCCGATGGCCTGTCCAGCAGCTGCGTTCATGAACGAGACAGAACTGTGTTAACTCGGACGTGGCTTCTTTGGAATGCATGGTGGACAAGGGCTGGGCTTCTCCGCTCCCTCCGCGGAGGTTTTCCAAGCAAACTGTGGTGGGGGTGGGCAGGTTTAATCCACGCAGCAAACACCTTTATGTCAGACCGCACTGCCAGGACATCTGCCAAGAAGACGCCCGGCTGCTCTGCTCATTAGGGGCCCCTCGGGGGTCTCCCTGCTTGGCAGGGAAGGGCGGAGCCACACCACCGCCCCAAGGCCCCGGGCTCCCTGGAGAACAGCACTGATGAAGGCCTGGGTCTCAGGCCGGCTTGGGAGTTTTACCCTCGAGGGGACAGACCCTGCAGGAGCCCAGCCTGAAGGTCAGGCCAGAGTCAAGGGCGCTTCACACCTGGAGAAGCGCCGACACCGTCTCCCCAGGGCCACGGGGGGCTGGCCTGAACCCCAACCAACCTGCAGGCCTCAAGCTAGGGGCAAGGACTGGGGCTGAGGGCCCCAGCTTTGGGGACCAGGTTGCTGTGAGACAAGGGCTCTGAGCCTCCCAGGACAGTCACTCCAGGCAAGCAGGATGTCTCCCTTCTGCTCCCCAGGGCTGGTTGGCCAACGCTGACCCATCCCAGGACTGGGAAGGGTGCGAGGGCGGGTGAGCCCCTCCCTGATTTGGGGGGCGGTGCACTGCAGGGTCTGGACTAGGAATGGTAATAATGGGGGGCCCCATGGCTGGGCCCGGAGAGTGTTGGGTCAATGGAGCCGGCAGCCCGAGGACGCCTCCCTCCGGATTCTCGCCTTCAGCCTCCTCAGGCCGCCATGCTCGGGGTCCACCAGGAGGCCGCCCTCAGCTGCCATCCAGGCCTCAGTGTAGCGCTGCTCCCCAGGCAGCGCTGCCCACGGCACAGGAGCACGCGGGCGGTCGGGGCCCGGCCCGGCCGCTCCCACAGGCTGCTCTGGGCTAGTGTGGGCGCCAGCCTGAGGGCCTGGGCGAAGGCCCCTGCAGCCCTGGCCTCGTCTCCTAGGCTCAGCAACAGGCGCCCCTGGGAGCATAAGTCCTCTGCCTGCACCTGGAGGTCGCCGTCCCCTGAACCCTCTTGGAGCACATGGTCCAGGTCCTTGAGAGCCCGGCCAAACTCCTGCAGCTCGGCCAGGCAGGTGGCCCGCAGGCGCAGGTGACAGGCACTGCCACCACCCGCCAGGATGGCCAGCGAGCAGTAGCCGAGCGCTTGGCCGGGCTGCCCTGAGCTCAGGAGGGTGTCAGCTTCCTGGGCTGCGGCCTGCAGAGGGGACGGAGGGAGGGAGTTGAGGTCAGCCCAGAACACTGCAGGCCCCTCACTGGTCCTGCACAGCCGGTCGCTGTTAGCTCCCCGTGCAGAAGCTGCCCGCTACCTCTGGAGGGGGCTGGAGGCACGGGGCAGAGGCCCCCACCCCCACAGTCCCACCACCCTGGAAGCTCTCTGGCAGGCAGACCCTGCTCAGAAGGCATCCTCCTCACCTGTCCTACTGCCCCACCTGTGGGCTCAGCTTCTCCCACCTGAGTGGCTGCCTCCTCCCTCTGCTCCTCCTAGCAAAGTCACCTCCCCAAAGGGCCCCTCTGATGGGTCTGCCACTCAGCCTCCCATCCTGTTCACCCTGCCAAGGTGGCCCTGGCCCTGAGGACAGCAGGAAACACCACCTTTGCCCAGCCTGGTCTTTGAGCCTTCTCTTAGGCCCCAGGTCAGAATGGCAGGGGCTGCTTTGTGCTAGTACGTTTCTCACTTTGCTAACCAATTAGCTGCGCCTGCAGGCCCTGTGGAGCCAGAGTCAAAGCCAGGCCGACCCCTCTGCTCTGCCAGCATGACCCCCGAGGCTTGGCTTCAGTGTCTGCCCTCCCACCCCAGGACTAGCAGAGCGGTGCTTCCAGGAGGGCCGTAGTGGATTCACCCTCAGCCTCTGTGGATCCTGCAGGGCAGGGCCAGAGGTCAGAGGGCGCTGTCCACCCCAGCACTTCTCTCCCTGGGGGCTGCTAGACTGAGGCCCTGGCCATGCCTGTGTGCGTGACCCAGCCCTGAAGGCCAAAGCCTCCCCACTGCCCCCGAGGCTCATTTTGCTTTTCTGAGTGTGGCTGAGGCCCATTCTCTAAACCTGCCAAAGTGCCTTACCTTCTCTCCCCAACCGCCCCTGATAAACCCACTTGCCTCATTCTGCTCCTCCTGCTCTCAAGAACCCACAGCGGCTCCCCGTGGCCCGAAAGGGCACATTCCAGACCCGCCCTTTCCCCTGGTCCCCTCCCTTTTCCATGCGGCCAGGTTGTACCAACACCCCCGCCAGGTCCCCAGGACTCGGCAGGGGGAGCGCGTGGTCCTGTCTTCCCACCAGTCCGACTGCGCACCGAGGCGGGCCGATCTGCTGCTTTATGCGGTCCGCTAACCCGGTGTCCGTGCGCAGCATCTTCCCCACCAGCCGTGTGCCGCCCCTTTTCAGGGCCGCGCAGGCGCAGTCCCGCCGGAAAGACGCACGACCATTTCCGCTCCACTTCCGGGCTGGCCCGCGTCGCCCGGCAACGGCCCAGCGTCGCGCGAATTCTCGCGGCTGCGAAACCCGCCTCCAGGTGGCTCCGCGCGGCGCTCTCCTCCCGCCCAGAGACCCCAACCCAACGCCTGCTGTGAACTCAGAGGCAGACCCCTGCCCAGCCCCGTCTCGTGAACTCAGAGACCGCATCCCTGGCTCCCCTCGCCCAGCTCAGAGTCCCCCCCGCCAACTCCGGGCTCTGAGACCCCAGCCAGGCCCCCTCCTCCGAGATCCCCGGGCCCGAGGCCGCTCCTCCGGGTCCAGGTGCTGATGCCCTGCTCCTCGGCCCCTCAGCCCTGCGAGGCAGCAGTTCTGCGTCACCCCTGGCTCGCTTTCCTCTTTTTGTCCCTAATGCCCGTTTAGCCAACTCCTCTACTGACCCGCTGGTTGAAACCCCTAGTGTGGTCTGTTTTCTCGACGCACCCGAGTGCCAGAGCCCCCTAAAACGGAAGCCTTGGGACGTGAAATACTTGCCGAGGCCGCTCAGGGGTTTCAATCTGAGTCACTCTAACTTCAAAGCCTGCTGATTCTCTTAGCCCCCCCAACCCTGTGGTCCCTTCACCGCCCACCACGCCCCACCCCCTCAAAAGAAAAAAACAGCCACTCCAGGGAAATCCACTCTGCAGTTTCCACTCCCCTAGCCCTGCCTCTCCCACCTGCCTGGCTGGCTCCTGCGTCCAGTAAGCGAAGAGCTGAGGTGGTCAGACCAGGATGGAGGACACCCTTCCCTCTGCCCCCACCCCACCTGCTCCTCCATCAGACTGGCTTTGCTGGAGTTTGGCCCAGAAACCTCTCCCGGACCCCCAGGCCCTCCTGCAGTCCACACCAGCTGTCTTTTGACCGCCTGTTTCTCAAACATTCGGTGCTCTTTCCTGCCTCCAGGCCTCTGCCTTGGCCTGTCTGTCGCCATCACGTCCTCACCTCTAGGGCCACCTCACAACCCCACTGCCTTGTCTTAGGGTATCCCTGACACTGACATTCTCTGAAGTGAATGGCGTCCCCCCCAAGATTCAAGGGCCACAGTGCAGGCAGTGGCTCCACCCAGCACCTGGTAGAGGTGCTCTTACATTCTTGTTAAATAAACAGGGGAGCAAAAAAACAGCCAATCAAAGAGGCAGCAACTCCAGTGTGACGTCCCTTCACGACCCCTCTCAGCTCACCGGCTGCAGGAGCCCACCCTGACCACCCGCACACTCATAGGGAGGGACGTGCCTCTCCTGGCCTGACCTGGGAGCCAGCGTGGGCTTCTGGAGAAGGCCAGGTGTTCCTGGCTGGCTCAATTTGGCCCTGAGGAGGGGGTACCCTCCCTCTCTCTCCCTGGCCCCGAGTCAGCTGTGCCTTATACGCCTTGTCCAAAGAAGCCAAGAGGTCACTGGGGTTATCAGGACTTGCAATGGCCAGACCTGCTGCCTCCTGCTCTCACCTCCACCCACCCCACACTTAACCTAAATGAGGCACATAGTGGGTGCAGAGCTGCCCTGAGCCCTGGCCTGGGGGTCTTCCACCAGAGGGGCTGGGGTTGGGGCTCTCTGGGGGGCTGTGCACACCTGGGTGAGGCTCTGCCGCTCTGACGCATCCAGGAGACGCAGCAGGAAGCAGAGGTCCTGGGCGTCAGTCTCTGCCAGGTACTGCAGGTCCCGTGCGGCGGCCAGCACATCCCCCTTCTTGAGCTGAAACAGGCCACGCCGGGCCCGGGCTGCCTCTGATGGAGAGTCATGCTGGAGGGCTTCCTGCAGGCAGGCGCTGGCCTCCTCCAAGTTGCCTGTCAGGGATTGGGGCAGGACAGTCAGGATGGGGCTAGGGCAGGGCGTCAGGAAACGTGGGACTCACCGGCCCCCAGGAAGCCCAGTACGGCCTTTCTTGCTCAGCATTGTCTCTGGGAGCAGCTGGCTAATGGAGGGGCTCAGCCCCGGAAGGAAGGAGCCTGGAGCAGAGGGACAAGGTGACACTGTGTCAGACACGAGGACTCGCCTGATGGCCCAGCGTCCCACCTGGGGGTGGTCCCTAAACTCCGCAGCCCCAGGCAGAGTAGCAGGGCACTGAGCCCCCTGGCTGCGGCCCCTGCAGGGACATGCTTCTCTCCCGAGCAGGGCTGCATGGGACCAGAGCAGACCCGGGGGCCCCCGAAGGCCTTGGTGGGGGCGCCTCCCAGGCTCGGAAGTGATGTTGACAGGCCTCGGAAATGCAGGCTGCAGAGAGCGCTGAATTGTTTTCCCAAGGTTGCAGGGAAGACTGACATTTTGGCACATGTGGTCCTAAGACACCTCGCCTAGAACAGGGCACTCGATAAACATGTGCTGAGTAAAGGTGCGAGATAATGAGGCGGCTGGGCCTTTTATGAAGCCCCGCATCACTCCCTTGTCTCACCCCGCGGCGGGCAAGGCCACACGGGACCGGGTCGCGGGTCCTGGGATTAGGGGTGGAAGGGACTTAGAAGCCATCGAGTTCAGGGCCGCCTGCTCCCATTTTATGGAAATGAACCAGGGGAAAAGGAGCGGGGACAGATGCCCAGGTTCCCCACGCACCCACTGCAGCCAGCACGTCCGCCAGGAGGGTGTGCCAGCTGGGCTGCCCTGCATCGATTTTGATCAGCGCTTCTCCTGCGGCCAGGAGGCCCCGGGCGTCCTCGTGGTTGAGGGGCGGCCCGGTGTCCAGCAGCTGGCTCAGGCCGGCTCGGCATCGGGAGGAGAGGCCCTGCGTGATGAGAGCCCGGGCCTCTGGCTTCAGAGAGCGGATCTCAGGGACCGTGGTTCTGGGGTCAAGCTTCAGAGCTGAGAGGATGTCGTCCACCGCCTCCTGCAGGGGAAGAAGGGCTGGGGTGGGACAGCAGTTGTCCCAGCCCCATCCCCTCCATCGCCCTTCCCTGCAAACTGCAGCCCCTGCAGCGGCCTGGGACCCCTGCCTCTGCCTCCTCAGCTCGGCAAGCCCGCTGCCCGCCGCCTGTGCAGCGGCAGGAAAGGCTCCCCAGGCGGGAGGCCAGGTTAATGTGGGGCCCCCCGGGCTCCCTGTTTGTGGTCTCCCTTCACCCCACGGCCTGCCGTCCGTGCCTGAAGACAGGTGTCGTGTGTTTTACCCAGTATCTGTTCTCAGCAGCCCGGCACCAGCTCCCCTTCCTGGTCAGAGCTGGGAGCTTGCCCAGATGCCCTCAGAGCCCAGGGAAGGGCTGCTCCGGGGGCAGGCGTGGCAGGGATGCGGGTCTTGGCGAGACGGAGCCCTGAGCTGGGCGGATGGGAGGACGGTCCTCTCTGATCCCTCCTGCACAGTGGCCTGGGCCCTCCCTCCCCTGGTGCTGGCCCGTGGTGAGCCCGTTGGCTGGTTACCTTTGCCGGGAAGAAGCCCAGTTCTCTGTTGGCTCATGGGAAGTCCCTTATTGGGGGCCAGGCACCAGGCTGAGTATCTGAGGGGTTTTTTTCCTTTATTTTATTTTGCTTTTTTTTTGTGGTGGGTGGATGTAATTACGTTTACTTATTTATATGGAGGTACTGGGGATTGAACCCAGGACCTTGTGCATGCTAAGCATGTGCTCCACCATTGAGCTCTACCCTGCCCTCTTCTGACAGTCTTGAATAGGCACTCCCACTCCCCATTAAGGAATGACAGCCTTGAGCAAGCAATGCACCCCTTAAGGCTGAGCATGTGATGGCCTTGAGCAAGCACCCTCCCCCCAGTTTGATGTGGAAAAGGCTCAGAGACGCTATAGGACTTGCTCAGAAAGTCAGAGGAGGGGATCAGGGTTCTGGATTCTGGACCGGCAGGCTGGCTCAGGGCTCCCCTCCTGGTGAAGGGCTGGAGGGCATGTGGGCGCCAGGCTCGGCCCATCCACAGGAGGAAGAAGTTCTGGGTGTGACAGGGGTGGGGTAGCCCTTGCTCCCGTGTCCGGACCCTCGGACACGCAGGCTGACTTTCTCTGCCACATGCTCTGCTGCCCTGGATGGAGTGAGAGACATTCCTGAGGCACCTCTGGGAGGAGCTGCTGCCCTGTTGAGAGCCCCCGGGGTGGGCTTCCAGGGGCCCGCCTCCTGCAGCAGGGGCCCTCCTGGCTGAAGCCCTTCTCTGTTTCGTGGGCTTGTCCCTGAGAAGCATAAGTGCTTGCCCAGCACAGGAAGGGGTGTGCGGAGAGCTGTTCTTCCAACCACAAGAGTGCGCCCAGGTGGGAAAAGGAATGCAGTGCCCTTGGGGGAAGCGACGCCCCGATGGGCAGAAGCAGCATCTTGAGACGCTCTCATCCCAGTGGACCATTTTTCCTCGTCTCCTAGGACTCCAACCCTTAAGAAAATTAAGAAACCTGGCAGGCAGGTTACTTCGACCTAGCGAAGCATCAGGGCAGACAACTGATTTCAATTACTTGCCAATGACGTTGCTCTTGGCTGCCAAGTGCCCTTGTCCAGGGCTGTTTGGCTGTGGCTGCTTCTAGGCAGGACTCTTCTGTTGAAAACGCCTGCCCTGGGCCTGGCCATGGACCACTGCACGTCCCAGCCTGAATCCACAGGCCGTGGGTGTACAGCTCAGGGTGGTGCCCAGGAGGCAGCCAGGGTCTCATCACTCTAGGTGGTTGAGGGGCCCTGGTAGCCCCTAGGCTGTGCATGTCTGCCACCCTTACTGCAGCTGGGAGGCACGGGGCTCTTCACATGAGAGGGAAAGGCTCCCTGAAACCGGGGATAGGACGATGAGGCTTCCGTGAGTCCCAGGGCAGGCGGGTTTCGACAGATGCCTCACCCTCGGGCGGCCTGGCTCCGCTCCTGCTTGCTCTTTCCTCGGATCTCCCCCAAAGCACGCCCCCACCCGGTCCCAGGTCGGGGCGGGGCTGGTACCTCCTGCTGGTCCAGGGCCAGGTGCAGGAGCGCCCGCCCGCACAGCGCCTGCACGTTCCCCGGCTGCGCCCTCAGCACGCAGTTGAAGTCGAACATCGCCGTCTTCTTCTGGCCCAGGAACCCGTAGCAGCGGGCGCGGGCCAGCAGGGACTCACTTGCCTGACTCCCTGGAGGAGGGGTGGGGCGTCAGGAGATGACCTGGTCCAGCGTATCTGCCCTCATCCAGCATTTACTGCACCTGTCCTGGCGCCCAAAGCGGGAGGCAGAGGGTGCCCACAGACCCCTGGGCACCAAGGCACGCGGGGAGCAGTCTGGATTGTCCTGGGGGCCCAAGCAGGAGAGGTGGCATCTGGGAGGGCTGGTGGACAGTCAGAGGGGCTTCTGAAGGGAGAGGCCCCATTGCTGCATCTGAGGTGAGGACGGGGAGGGGCAGGGGCATGGCAGGTTGGCTGAGTGAGCAGGGAGACCAGGCACGCTCATGCAGAGCTGCCCTCACTGCTTCTAGGAAGGGCGCAGGGGAGTGGGGCCCTCCCCTTCCTTGGCTGAAGGGAGAGGGGTTGAGCTGGGAGAAAGGGCTCCTGCCCGCAGGGCCCAGGGTGTGGGGGGCGGCGGCCTGGGGCTCAGGGGAGGGCCCAGCTCAGGCCCCAGGTGGCTGGCTCCTCCGCTAGCTTTGACCTGCTCGCCGGGATAGCCAAGGCCTGGGCACCAGACACCCGCGGTGAGTGTCCCTGGGAGCACGCGTGCATCAAGCACACGCCCAGACCCTCTGGGGCCCGTCCACCCCCTCCCCATGCTGGAGGCTCCCTGGTCCCCCTGTACCTGGCACGGGATGGGGGCCTCAGGGGCAGGCGGGCCGCTCCTACCTGCGGCAAAGATGGCCAGAGAGAGGTAGGCGATGGCCTCCCTGGTGTGGACCTCACCCTCGGCCCCGCCGGGTCGTGCCCGTAGGATGGCCAGGGCCCGCGCGTGGCAGTGGCCCCGCAGCAGCTGCCGGTCCTCTTGATGGAAGACATCCAGGGCGGGCTGGAGGCAGGCCGTGTCCCTGGACTGGATCACCTTCTTCACCAGCTGCAAGGGCAGGGGGCGTCACCACGGCTCCTCCTGTGCCGGAGCCCAGACCATTCCACCCCCATCTTCCTTGCAGGGGCGTGGCGCATGGGGGGCGTGGTCCAATGGCGGGGGTGCGGCACCCACAGGCAAGGACTGCGGGTCCCAGTGGGGAGCACAGGAGAGGCTGAAAAGCTGGATCCAGGAGGTGTGGGCCCTGCTCTAGGCGGCCTCTCTCTGCTGGTGTCAGGAGTTGGGTGGGGGTCCCAGTGTCGCTGAGTTGTGCCTGCTCCCCCATGAATTGGCAATGGAGCTCTCGCCTTCACAGCTGACTTACCGTAGGTCTGAGAATTTCGGGGAAAGAGAGGCTTTCAAATCATAAAGTGACAGAGGGCCCTGGGAGTCCTTCAGAAGGTGCACAGCAAAAGCCCTGGGACCAGTCCCTGCTCTGGGCAGAGTGGGACTCCCGGGGGGACATAGCCCCACAGAGGCCCACCGGATGTTGCCCCTGCCGGCCACCCCTGTGCGGAAGCTGGTCCCAGAGCACCCTTCCCTCTGGCCTGTATGGCCCAGAGACCAGAACCTGAACCAGGCCAGAGCGGAAGAAGGAAGCTGATGGGTCCTCCAGCCCCCACCCCAAAGCCCAGCATTTCCCCCTGGAATATAATCTGCCCAGGTTCCAACAGGACGCCTTCATGGGGGGGTGAAGTTACGCTTTTCCTGGAAGCAGGCGGTGTCTGAGGGAGGCGAGGCCAGCAGGGACTGAGGACCTGGGGGCTCCTCTGCTGCCCCCCTCCCCAGAGCAGGGACACCTCCAAGCCTGGTTTACCTGGGAGAATTGGGACTAAGCTCTGCTTACAATCGACTATTGGCTCTTTTTTTGTAACACAGGAAAAGCAAATACAGAGCACCTACTGCATGCTGGAGACCTGCAGGGCCCTGGGGTACTTGCAGCAGCTAATTCCCACGAGAACTTGGAAGACCAGGCACCGATGAGGAGACTGAGGATCAGAGAGGGGAGGTCCCGCTGCAGGTGGCTGAGCTGGAGGTGGCAGAGCCGGGGCTGGGACAAGCTTTGCCTGGTCCCAAGTCTGGGCCGTGGGGTGCTGAGCCAGGGCCCGCTGGAGGCCAGGTGCCCTCCAAAGAGCTGTGCCTCGTTTCCACCTGCCCTGCTGGGCCCCCGGGGCCCCCTGACCTGGTTGGCGTCGTAGAAGAAGCCCCTCCGGAGCTGCAGCAGGGCCAGGCGCAAGAGCACAGGGGCCGCCTGAGGCCTGCGGGAGAGGGCCACCAGCAGGGCCTTGTGGGCGTCGTCCAGGCGGCCCAGGCGGTACAGGGCATCGGCCGCCAGGAGGCGCGAAGCCTCATCCTCCGAGTCCAGCTCCGTCAGGAGTGCGGCCAGCTGGTACACGCCATGGGCGTCCCTGCAGAGAGGGCAGCCAGGGCAGCACTGACTCCTTCCCTCACCCCCTCTCACCCGCCCAGGGAGGCGAGGGCAGGCAAAGCCCATCCTTGCGCACCCGGTCCGGGCAGCCCCCTTCCTGCTGGTCTGCAGAGGCCAGGCACCTGCCGCACGGACTGTCCGGCCTGCCGTCCCCTGAGCCCATGGCTGCTCTGTCCGACATTCAGCCCTTGGCCCTCACCCTTGTCCCCCCCAGCCCCGGTGGCAGGCACTGTACAGATGAAGAATCGTGGCTGTGTGCTGACCCCCTAGCCTACCCTGCCTTAGTTTTCTTTTCTGCAAAAGTAAGATATAAGCGTTGGCCTTGCAGGGTGCATGTGTGTTGTAGAGGTAACACACAGGCTGCCCGGGAATGATCCTGTGCACTCTCGGGAATCAGAATGAGCTCCCACGGGGAAGAGGGGCCAGAGCCTGGAGTCTGACAATCCCCGGAGAGACCAGCCAGAAGGGGCCCGGGCTCGTGTATGGGAAAGTGCCTCTTCACCAGCCAGTCAAGGCAATGCAAATTACGGGATGGGAGGCAGAGGAAGTGTGTGCATGTATCTCTGCGTGCAGGGGAGAGGGGGCCCCCAAATCAGAGCTTTTAGCTTTGCTGGAACACCTTCCTGCTACTGCCCAGCAGCCAGAGAAATGCAGATCAAAACAGCTGAAGCTCATCCGCTGGGCTGGCAGAGAATTTTGCAAAAGGAGCATCAGGGCTGGAGCGTGCGGCCAGACGGCCGGTGGGCAGCTCCTGAAGGCCAGGATCTCAGGGGCCATGCTCTCTGACCCGGGAACTCCACCTGTGACTCCATCTTTAGGGCAGAACGTGGTGGAGACGGGACCTTCCCCGGGGCGTGTTATGACTAAGAGCAGCCCTGCAGGGAATCCCCGAAGGGGCGGAGGCACAGTCACAGGATGAGCTACTGGACTGCCCGTGAGGCGTACCTACAGCAAAGGAGATGCTCGTGACCTGGTGAGTAAAACACGGGGGATAAAACTGCACACGGACCACAAATCCAGGTTTGGGAGCTGTATTCTAGGTGCACACAGAGAAGCAGCAACAGGAAAGCTCTAACAGCGGGATTACAGCTGAGGTTTGCTTTGTCGTCTCCATGTTTGAGTTTCTCATTTTCTGTGACAACTAAGTCCAAAATGCACCCTGCTGTTTGGGACCCAGAGATGCTAAGATCCCTGGGCCCCGGTGCTAAACCTGCCACCGGTGCTTCAGGGAAATTACCCAACAGCTCCCTGCCTCAGTTGACTCATCTGTAGAGTGGTAAGAGCCCCCTCCCCGCCCTGACTACCTGCAGCAGCCCCGGCTGACACACGGGGCTAGTTCTCACCCTTCCTGCGCAGCGGGGGTCTCCATCTCCACGACAGCGGCCTTCCTGCTGCGGCCCGGCCCG